ACTATCCACATCAAGAATTATTCTAAACCTATCAGTCGACTAGTTCAGCTTTTACATCCTTAATCCATATTCATACTGCCTTAATCCACCACACACCCTAGATCCAGCCACCTCCAAAAACCCCACTTCTGAGCACATGAGACTTAGAAGGACACGCCATAGCAGGCTGCACCCTGAGTCTCCTCCCCTCTGCGCCCTCTCCCACCTCTACCCACTCGAGATTCCTCCCTCTTGGTGTCAAGATGGCTGCAGCAAAGCCAGACCTCCCGGCTGCATGCTAGACTCTGTCTGTACAGGGCAACCAGCAGCTCCTTTACATTCTAGAAAATGAACCAGATGATTTGATGGGTATGGACAACCACAGCAGCTAGATCAGATTCCCATCACTTCCTTGGAGTTTTCCCGCTTGTGCGAACATCTGCTCCTTATGCTCCAGGTCCCCGCACCACCCTCCCTATGCACCACTTCTCTTAATGTTCACCAAAGCCTCTGAGATAATCTGCATTTATACCAATGAGGAGATCAAAGTTCAGAGAGGGTGGACGCCTTGTCCAGAGCCACAGAGCCAATATGTGGCAGAACTGCTGGGAAGCAGTAGATCTAAGAGCTGAAAGAGACTTGAGAGGTTCTACAGCCTGAGCTCTCAGCCCCTGTGCCCCTGCTTGTTGAGTGCAGGTCACTCAACATCCCCCCCACTGCTGCCACTTCACCTCCTGCTGCTATCCTGGTGACCCAAGTCTTTTGCCCACAGGGAGTTGTTTTGTCCACAGACCTCAAGCTTCAGACCGAGTAACTCAAAGTCCTGCTCCTACCTCTGCGTGCTTCTAGACTCTATTCTCCCTACCACCTCCATCTGTTTCCATGGAAACTGCTGGGCTCCTGCATCTTTTTCATCCTCTTTTCTGAGAAGCAAGGCCAGATCTCTAGCACCCCAGTAGCCAGGACTGACCATTATAAAGACCAAAGAAGCAATATCTGAAAGAAACATTTGCAGGAAGAGGGAGGGACCAGTGAGGCTTCTGATTTTTCCTTTGATAAGTTCCAAAATAATACCAGGTGCTCTGAGGAGCTCTGCCAATTACCTCAGCCTGGTGGGAAATGGCTGCAAAGTTGTTTGTCTTCCATTTTTTGGTGTCCTACCATCTCACAGTCTATCCCCAGACCTTCCAATCTTTCTAAGAAATGAGCCTGTGGGTCCAGGGAAGAGGGCAGTTGGTCAGGTCATCTTACCAAGCCCTCATGTCTGCTAACAGCATCCAGGGAGCAGCTAGTGGGCTGGGACACCAAGGAGTGGGTGGGACCAGTCTGTTCCTTCTGGAGAGGGGAGGATCCAGCAAGCCAGTGGACATCATGGACACAGTAGGCATGACATCACTCCTGCCACTGTCAGACATTCTGTGGCACTAGTAACCAGAGTCTGAGGAGAACCTTAGAACTACTTCCCAGAAGCTTGGCACCCGTTCACAGAGAGTCTACAAGCTCTGGGAATTGGAGTAGCCAAAGTGATCCTGATATCCTGCCCCTGCCAGGTCTTGGTTGGATGTTACAGTCTCTGAGCCTGTTTCCTTAGTTTTAAAGGAAACCTGTTCTTGCACTGCACCCTTGATAGGCTAAGATAAGGACCAAGCAAAAAGGTAACCATGAGAGCTCTCTGCAAAGGCGTGGAACACCATCCTTGAAGTCACCACCACCGTCAGCTCTGGCTACAGCTGCTAATCTTGAGATGGGGGAGGTGCTATGGTTAGAAAGTGTTCAGGGTGACAGCTCAGCAGCAGGGTACCTGGCTGGTTAGAATATGTCTGCTCCCACATTTATATGTTGGAATTTGATGGCCATTGTGAGAGTTTAATTGGATGGGAAATCTGATTAGAATTCACATGTTGATGGCATTTGGGGATGGGCCTTTAAGAAGTAATTAAGGTTAGACAATGTCACATGAGGATGGGGACCCGGTGTTGGAATTAGCTTATGAAGAAGAAGAAGGATAGGCTGGATGTGGTGGTACATGCCTGTAATCCCAGCACTCAGGAAGCTGAAGCAGGAGGATTACAAAATTCCAGATCACCTTAGGCTATATAACACTTTGGTTCTAAAAAAAAAAAAAAAAAAAAAAAAAAAAACCATGGAGGTCTGGCTGCCCAGTATGCTTGCTGCTCTGTCTGGCCACATGACACCCTCAGCCACCACATGATACCACAAGAAGTCCACACTAGATGCCAGTGCCATGCGCTGGGATGTCCCAGCCTCCAGAACCACAACCTGAATAACCTCTGTACCTTATGAATTGCCTGACCCAAGTATTTTGTCATAAAACAGATTTAGTCAGGACTAGAGGGCCTCTGTGTAGTTGAGCAAAGGCTTGTGTGGAGCAGTTTCCAGCTCGGTGGCTCAGGCCTGCACACACATGCCGGCTTCCGGTCCTTGCCTGCACTCCAGGCACCTTTCCCAGGAGCCGACCTGACTTCCTGGGGCTGCACAGGACCACAGCCACCCAGCTTCCCTGCAAGCTCAAGACAGGACAGTCTGGCCTCTTCCACAGGCCTTCAGATAACTCGGCCAGAAACAGTTACCAGTCTGCCTTCACCTGGACCCAGACTCCAGATTTCTGCTTGTCTCAGACCAGGCAACCCACATCACCTGCTTCCTGCAGCACTCTCCGGCCCTGCAGGAATTTTCTGGGCCCCACAGGACCCCGTAGGAAGTACATCAGTGCTCAGGCTTCAGTACATCAGCGTTAGAGCCTGTGACCTCAATGGAGATGGATAGTAGGTGAGCCGCCTTGGAAGGCTAGTAACCAGCTCAGAATTGTCGCTTGTGACCAAAGTGTCACTCCTTCAGAGCAACAAGGGAAATTCCTCTTGTGGCCAGTTTCCATGATAGTACCTGCTTTTTCATAGGCCTTTAGGGCCACCAGGATTCCGCTAGGTGTCCCTCAACACTGACTTGTAGACCAGGGCTATTACTGCCTCCATTTTCACTGAGGTGCAAGAGGCCCTCCAGCTGGCAGAGGTATTTTTCCCCAGTGCCTTGGAAGGTAGGTTTTAAAGCTGCACTGTCTGACTCTAGAGCAGAGACTTGTGTCTCCTATAAGTGACCACAGCACCCAGCTCAGGAACAGGGACAAGGGGCTTGTGTGGACTCTTCAGTCCCTCCTTGGGTGCATGTCTGAGGAGGCAGGGGTGGGCTCCAGAAACAAATTCCAGGGATGAACTCAAGATGAATAATGCAGGACTGTCCCAGCACAGAGTGTGCAGGTCACCGTGGTCACCTGCAGTCCCCATCCAGGTCTGGGGAGCTAGCAGGACACTGGGTTTTGGTGGCAGTGAGGGACAAGCAGCCTCGCCCACAAGCCTGTACAGAGGAGCGGCCAGAAGTGAGACAAGGAACCCAAACAGACAGGTATCAGGGCTGCAGGATTGTGTCTGGCCCCTAGAGGGGCTGTGTGCCGAGGTGGTCAGGACGCTGGACTCAGTGGCAGCATCAGTGTCAGCCCTTCCCAGAGCCGAAAGCTACCCAGGGATTTCTTGCCGAGTTCACCCCTGATCACAGGTGCGGTGAAGGAGCAAAGACTTATGTAATCATCAGAATGATTCTAAGAGGTAAGCACCCACACTCCCATTTTGCATAGGAGAAAACCTGAGACACGGACCCGTCGTGTAATTTGCCAGAGCTTAACTTATACTGGGGTTCGGGTGGAACAGCCTGGACTCTGGCGGCTTTGGTGATTTTCTCAGCCGAGGTCCTCCCTGGGCAGCAAGGGGGGCGGGTGCATAGAGGCCCCCAAAGCCAGTTTCTTTCTACTGCTCTCTCCCAGTCCCTTCTGCAGTCTGAACACATGCGCCCTGGGCAAAACCCTAGTGGCTTTGGAAGCTGCGCCCCGGCTCGCATAGTGACCTGCTTTTGATTCTCGCTTACCTCCTCCCCTTTCTCTCCCTTGGAAAGCAGTTCACCTAACACTCATCAGCACTTGTTAATGAGCGCGCGTTGGTGGCAGTGGCACTTGGTGGGGGCAGAGGGGGTGTGCTGTCTGTCAGTGGGCCAGGCGTCCACAGGCCGGTACAGACCCGGGCTCCAGGCCCATTCCCTGCCTCTGCCGTTCCTTAGGCTGCACTTGCTGTGGCTGTTTCTATTCTACTGAGACGGTTTCAGTGGATCTCTAAGGCGGAGCTGGATGTTTTCTGCCCCCTGGGGAGGCCAATTCCCACGGAGACTCCAGGTGGGCGTGGTCAGGAACGGTAGTGTCGAGGCCAGCTCTGCCATCCCCTGGACAGATAGATGGCCAGGCTAAGACAGACCCGGAGGTGGAGGAAGGCACTTAGGAGGAGTAAGTCAAGACCCCGCCCTATTTGTCTCCTCCCTGGGCCTCACTGATTCCAGCTGCCAAGACAGAGCCTCGAGCGCTCTGGGCTCCTCTGGGCTCCCTTAAGGAGCCTTGAAATCATGAAAAGGGTGCTGGGTTCAAATGCCAGCTCTGCCTCTTATTTGCTGGGCAAGTCATTTAAACAGTTTGAATCCTGCCTTAAGGAAGTGGTCTCTGCTCTTCCTGACATGGAAAGGGCAGGTGAGAGGCCGCGTGAGCTGGACCTAGTGAACTCGAAAGCCTGGGCTGAAAAATCTTCTCAGTTTAAACAGCATCGAGCTGTCCTGTCCTTGTTACTGGGATCACTGTTGCAGCCACTGCTAGCAGGGGTTGTACTCAAGATGGTCAGCGAGAGTGGGAAAGGAAGGAAGGCAGCCTCTCCTCGTTTCTGTCGAAGGACCTTCTGTGTCGTGGTACGCACAGAGGCGCCTCAGCGCACACGTGCCGACCCCAGGACCCTATGCTGCGCCCCCAGCCCCTCGCCCCTGCCGCACCGCGCCCCTGTGCGATTCCCTGAGCGCGCACGCCCCCTGCCGGCACCCGGGCGCGGCGCAGCCCCGGGACCGCATATAAAGGCAGCGTGGCGCGCGGCCCCAGAGCGAGTGCCAGAGCCGAGCCGCGCTGAGCGAGCTGAGCGAGCTGAGCGAGAGAGCGACAGCGCTGTGCTGGCTGAGGTCTCCGAGAGGCTCGCCATGGCTGGCCCGCAGCAGCAGCCCCCTTACCTGCACCTGGCAGAGCTGACGGCGTCCCAGTTCCTGGAAATCTGGAAGCACTTTGACGCAGACGGTCAGTAAAGCTCCCAACTTCTGTGCCCAAGGGCCCCCAGGGAACCTGCGGATGGAGGGACAGAGCGGAAGGCTCAAGGCAGGCAGGTGTGCGCTTGCCCCCGGGGGACGTCCTGATCGCAGAGCTCGCAAGGGTCGGGATCTCGAGTTTGGGAGACATCCAGCAGCCCTGGTGACAAGTGTCACAGTAACTTTTTTCTCCTGGCATGGGGCGCACAAAACCCACCGGCTTTGCATTATCATTCTGAGCAAGTAGGAGTGTCCCCAGAGAAGAGGCCTGGGCAAGATAAGGGTCCTCACGGTCCCCTCTGCCTTCTTCCCCACCTTTCCCTTCAGGTAACTTCCAGCCCTCTGCTGCTGCAGCCACAGGTCTTAGAAGCCCCCTCGTCTGGTCTTAATGTCCCCTCCCTTGAGTGCCCCTCCCTCAGTCCTCTCACCATCTGGAGCCCAGGACAAGCTGGGCATCCTGAGAGGGAAACCTCTGCCCTCTCCCAGGCTGTCTGGGCTGGAAGCAGGTGTGAAGAATACCATGTGGGGGCTTTTGATGCTCCCTGCCCATGGGCAGCAAGGGGTGTGGTGGGAGACAGCCCCAACCTGCCCCTTCCTGTGATAATCCTAGACGCTCTGTTGACTCCATTGCTGGGGAGAGATGGTGAGAGGGGGAGACATAATCTTAGATGCCCCGCTGGCCAGCACTTTGTTCATTGTGGTCTTGATACTGACCAAGCCCAAAAAATGAGAACCAGACTTCACGGCCTTGGGAGGTGGCACCCAGCACCTGATGATCTCACCGGGCAGAAAGGAGGCCGCTGAAGAGCTTTCCGATGTCTCTGGAGACTTTTTCTCCATCATTCCTCATACACACACACACACACACACACACACACACACACCTCTCTCTGAGGTCTGGGCTAAGGTGCTGGGGTCTGGGCTAAGGTGGGCAATGCCCTGGCGTCTCACACCCATCAGCAGGGTGGTGGGTCAGGGTGCTTATCTTGGGACTTTGAGCGAGGGTGATGGGAAGCAGAGGCAACTGGATGGTGATTTACTGTGTCCTCCTCCTCCCACCCTTACTTCGTCAGGGTGTGGAGCTGGCTAAACAGAGATGCTCCACTCAGAGCTGTAGAGAAGCAGGGGTTAATATCTGGGGATGCTTATGGTGAAGTTTCGTTTCCTTGGAGGCAACTGAGTAAGCTGGAGGGCAGAGGACTGGGGATCTTGTGACTCGGGTTAGGACCTTTGCTTCTGGCTCTAAGGGGCAGGTTGTGTGATCTGAAAAATGGGACTAAAAAGGGGTTGTATTTCCTACTCCCCACCCCCAGCTCTTGACACAAAACTCTCTTGGTGAAATGGGCTGTGATAGGATTGCAGCCTCTTAGTATTCCACATAACATGTCCGGTCCCTAAGGATGCTCCTGCCAGGTTATCTGCACCAGAGACTTTCAGGATTCAAGGAAAGTTACCAAACGGCCAAGGTTATACCACTGGCCTCCTCTTAGATGAGTCAGCTAGAAACGGAGAACTCCACAATTCTACTTTCCCCATTCGCATAAGGGCACCCAATAACCCTCTCAGGAATCATGAACGTCATTATGGCTACATACAATCTGAGACGTACTTTTCAAAAACAGTCACACCTTCTTGTCCTATGCTTTGAGGCTGCTGGATAGATTCCACCTGTATGGATGAGGAAACAGATGCAAGGAATGACGTGTTCAAGGTTGTGTAGCTGGTTAGTGGTGGCACTGATCCTTGGCCAGTGCTTATTTCCTATTGGGATTTCAGAACAGCCTTGCAAGAAGGGATTTTGTCTATGACGACAGACACATGTCTCCCTCCCATTTGCCCACAGAAGAGCCTATGAACCAGCCTTGAAGCCAGTAGATACTTCCTTTTTCCCAGAAAGGGGGCTTTGAGACCCGAGAGTTTTGAAGGACTTCCCAGAGCCCATGGTCCTGTGTGAAGGAGGAGCTTGTGCTCTCTGGTTGCTTCCTCATCACTAGACTTTACCTGCCCTCTTGGGTCACAGCCCCAGGCGAGTCCCAAGGTGAGACCCTGCCCTGATTGGAGAAGGAAAACAAGGAGGGTTCCATGCTGGAGATTGAAAGCTAATGACCTGGAAGATCTGCAGAGAGTCAGCTGCAGTTCCACTAGAAGATCCAGAAGAGGGTTTGGGGTCACCTTGCTGGGTACCTTTGTTTGGACATCCTCTGTGCCGTGCCCTCTCCTCCTGCATACCTCGAGGCTGCACCCCACCACCTGACATGTTCCCAGCCCTGCCTGGGCCTCTCTTTGATCAGCACTCGCTTCTGTTTGCAACTTAGGGTTTCTTTCCAAAGTGAGAGTCTTGCCGTTCACCACTTTAAAGAGCTCTGGGAGAACTCTCGCTCACAGCTCAGCAGGTCCCTGGAGTTAGTGCCCAGAGCCAAGTTAATCACAGCCACTAGGGAGAAGGTGATGCCTCCTCACCCCCTCTGGACTCTCATACTCAACAGACTCAAGGAGGCAGGAGGCCTTAGAGAAAAGCTGGGTCCCAGGGAGAGAGAGGATGGTGGGAGGAGGTGCTGAGCCTCACTCAGCGCATTCCAAACAGGGAAAAGAGGTGGCATCCTAGTGCCCTGGACCGAAGAGTTGTCTTCAAAATTAGCATTAGCATTGGAAGAGAGAAAAAAAAGAGGAAGTGTTTGGAGAGGGGTCTGGGGAACAAAAAGGCAACTTCTTTTCACAATTTCACACAGCAAAGCAGAAGGGGCCAGAGTTCTAATCTCCTCATCCCCTACAGCGTCCCAGGCCCTTCCTCAGTGGTCACTATGGCCAGGCACTGGGAGGTTCAGCTGTCTCTCAAAGGCAACATCGGGGTCAGGAAAGGCATCCAAAGGCACCCTACGACTCATGGGGGCTGGGGCTCTTCACATATCACCCCGTGTTCTGAGTGACCTTTATGTGTTTGGGACCATTATTCCCCTGCTTCGTGGTCACTTCATTGTCAAGATTTCTCACCCAGTGAGACCCAGGCAGCTAAGTGATGTGGAGGTCGGAGGTCCTGTGCCTTCCTGTGTTGTCCTGACAGATGCCACCGGGCTCCAGCTCCACTGATGGCTGCTTCCATGATGAGCCGTGCTGTGGCTCCCAAAAGAAATGCCTTAGGAGCCAGCAGGAGTATGGGAGAGAATGGCTCCTCTTTCAGAAGCAGGCAGACACCCATAGGACCGAGCAAAGAAGCCACCCAAGCACGTATATTCTCCATGGTTAAAATATCTGGTCTACACAGGCAAAAAGGTATATGCCTGAGAAAGCCTATTCAACAGTTCCTTGAAGTACTAAAAATTAGGGGAAGAGGGAATATGTGTCATCCAGGAAACAAAAAAATAAATTATGGTCATGTCTGTAGTAGAGTATTAAACAACCAATAAGTGCTAAGTGGAGCTTTTGTGCTGAGAGAAAAATGCCCAAGATGTATAATGTTTTTAAACTATGGCAGAACACTATCAGAAAGCCCATTTTTTTGTAACTAAGAGCATACATACATTGGAGAACATTTTGAAAAACATTACCAAGCAATACTGGTTCTCTGAAGAATAGTTGAGGTCAAATTAAAAATAAACTCTTTTCTTTCCTAAGTTAGTTTCTGTAGTGTTTGAAAATTCTACAAGAGCATATTTTCTTATGTCAAAACTAAAAATACAATTTAATGGACAATCTCGCTCCATTATACACATATTTCCAGGTACAGAACTGCCTATCCTCCAGGCTTCATCCACCTTCAAATGGCCCCAGTGAGGCAGGGGGTTGAAGTGTCTCTCACAAGGGCCAGCCAGATAGCTTAGCAGATTAAAGCACCTGCTTAGGCAGACACAGGGATCTGGGTTCAATCCCTAGAATGCTGTGCACCCCCGGGGTGCACTGAGACAGTGACTGAAACTGGGCATGGTAGCGTAGGCCTGTAATCCCAGTGCTTGGGAGGCTGAAAACAGGAGGATCACTACGAGTCTGATCTACATAGTGAGACCCTGAAGACCCAGGATACCCTGTACTAAATACATAAAAATAAATAAATAAAAGTTTCTCACATGGGCTGAGCAGCCTTGTTACCCCTCTGTGTGGGCCCCTGAGGGTCCTGCACTTGAGGATTTTGTATGTTAGTAAGAAGAAGGATTTCACACACTGCCATGGGCTCTGCTCCATTTTCCCTCCTTTTCTTCCAAAATCCAGTGCTTCTCACAGGAGCATCCTCCAAACCTGCAGCCCAACAAGCAGCACCCTCTAGAAGTGCGGGCCCAGGCTGGCCCTCCCAGAATGCAGACCCCTGCTGGGGCAAGGGGACAGTGCTATTACCACAGTACCTCTCAGAGGTGGGGAGAAGCTTGGGGAACTGGCAAAGACCTGAGACTCGTGGAGCACTAATAGGGAAGACCCGCCAGAACAGTGCTATAAGCTATGTGGGAGATATTAAGAACTAACATAAGTACTGCAACATTTACAAGGCAATATAACTCTGCCACTCCTAAGACAGTCATGGGACTTATGAAACTGTTTGGGTCTTAGCCCATGGAGGTCGCAGGGCCTGGTGCTGGGGTCGTGGTTAAAGTCACCTGAGCAAGGCTTTCTTTTAAAGTCACTAATGAATCTGTGGACATCTATAGACATCTCATGTAGACATGATGCCAGGATTGAGAGAGCCTCCCGCCAGCTGTGCCTCCTCAGTCCCTGGAAATATGTTTTCCTTGGGGCCGGGGAGATGGCTCAGTAGAATAAGCGCTTGCCTGGCAAGCACAAGGGCCTGAGTGCAATCCCTGATTCTGAGAAAAAAAAAAAAAAGAAAAGAAAAGAGAAAGAAGGATGTTTTTTTCTCTCTCCCTGCACCCCCTGTTCTCCTACCCTGTTGTTTCACCAGCACTTTCCTTTGGTGCATGAGCCATCATGAAAACTATAGTGCGTGGTTAAAGTTCTTCTCCATTTATTACAGTAAAAGGCACATTGCTATGAACGCCACCCAAAAAA